ATAGCAGTTATACAAATGTCATCTCTCTTTCTTAAAATATCTTACTCTACAGAGGTTGTAAGAAGCTTGTGGTCCACTGAGGGCAACTGAAACTTAGGAAATGAGACTGTGTTTAAAGAAGGAACTTGCTCAGCAATGGAGCTCTGAGAAAAGATAAATCATTTCCTATGGTGTGAGACTGCCCTTAGCAATGAAGTAAATGTATCTAACAAGTGCATGCTAACACTACCCCCCCACACACACACAGCTTCCTCTCCTGATAACCAGGGAACAAAGGCTCACTATCATTATACAGGCAAACCCACTGGACCTACCAGGTATCCAGCTATGGAAAGTAGCTGAGAAGCACAGTTCACACTTCATCACCTCCTTTCATATGGCTTTCCATGTTAGCTTCCCCATAGTAAACTCTGGGTGGATTTACAGGGTGAAGGTGCCTTCATCCATCAAGCTCTGTAAAGTCTTATCATGTGACGTTTGAATGTTGCTTTTCCCCAGTCCCTTTTTCAGAGCTCAAGTTAAAATTACATAGCCTATCTTCCATGTCTCTGAGCTTCACTTTCATAACTGTTTTGTTTCTCTGGACCATGTTCTGGTCTAATGTATAAATACTTCCACCATGCATCTTTAGCTCCATTCTTACCAATGGTTTTATTTTCTTAATATTTTTCTTTTTAGTTCTAAGAGTTCCACCTGCTACTTTTCAAATTTAGCTGACTTTATTTTTATTCTTGCATAATGAATTTATCCCTTTTGCACTTGGGTATTGTAAAGATGATTTTTTTTATTTTTGGTTTTTCGAGACAGGGTTTCTCTGTGTAGCTTTGGAGCCTATTCTGGCACTCACTCTGGAGACCAGGCTAGCCTCAAACTCACAGAGATCCACCTGCCTCTGCCTCCCAAGTGCTGGGATTAAAGGCCTGCACCACCAATGCCCAGCTAAGATGACGATTTTTTTAGTCTACTTTAGTAGGCTGGTAGCTAATATCCCACCTGTGACTCTTGGTATAATTCCTCATTTAAACACTTGAATTTCTGCTCTTTTTTTTTTTTTTTTTTAGAACCTGCTTTCATGGTCTCCCAACTTCATAGCAGTTCTTTCTTGGCACACACTTTTGAAGTGTTTCCCCCACTGTAGACACTTTTTTCTTCACATCTTCATGTTTTAGCTGTGCCTTTAAACTGAACATTAGCAAGAAAATATTATATTCTCTCACTGGGAGTGCTGTTACTATTTGAATCTCAAACATTATCCAAGGAAAATGGAATAATAAAGAATTATTTAGCAGCTGTGCCTGCTGACACAGCTGAATCAGAGGGCTGACAGAAGGAGATTCCTATTTCAAGACCATCCTGGGTTGCACAATGAGTTTGAACTCAAGCAACTTAATGAGACTCTGAAAATTAAAACTAAAAATGGGTCCAAACCATCAGGGTAAACTCTTCACTATTGCTCTTGTTAGTTTGCCCCTTACAGTGAGGAGCAAGGGGCAGGGCCATTTTCCTACCTTTATTTCCTCAGAGTCAGCTCTCCCACACCTACACCTTCAGGGCTAACTCTACTGTGTTAGAGTTAGCCCTAACCAGGAAGGGTGTAGGGGCCACTCTTCCAAATGGTGAAGACAGGGCAGAGCTGTTGGGCTGACCAACCCTGCAACTACCCAAGCCCAGACCCAGGGTTATGAGTTGACCCATTTCAACATCCACCCCATCTATAATTTGTTGGAGCACATGAGAGGTCTGATCCTACAGACCCAAAGCTAAATGATCTTCATGAGAAGGGCAACAGCAGGATAACCAAGACAAGTACAGTGATAGCCCAGCATCAGTAGTGTAGCAGAAACCAGAGGCCTCAAACCAGACCAATGACTCTTTGAAATGAACACTTGTTCACAATGATATATGGATAAAGTGGTTTACTGTGTGACTCACAGTGTCACACTACAGCTTCCATGATGAGATGTTTTTCCTCTTAAATTTTATTTTATTTGGGGGCAGTTACAAGGATAGAGGGTAGATATGAAGGGACAGGAAATGAATGGGATGGAGACACATGATGAGCGAGACACAAAGAATAAATAAAATAAAGTTTAAAAAATGGTTCAAAGATAAATATAGCTTGGGTAGACCAAATTCTAACTCCTAGAGCCATAACTAACAACCAAAGAATAAATATATTTTTATAAAAAAATTACAAAACATATTGGAATACTTACAGAAAATTTGCTTATAGGAAATTTCCAAGTTCTTGCATGTTTAGGCTCTGGTTATTTGTATATTTATTCACCTCTTTACAGCTAAGAAGATTGTCACTCTTCACTGACTAGTATTATGTTTAAATTTGGCACACATTTTCTCTGCACCTAAATATTTCTGTACTTCTCATCAACTACAATCTAAAGATAAATCTCTCCAGTCCTTGGAGTTGGATTATAGTACTTTAACATGTATTGTTCACAAGAACTTTCAAGCACTCTCTATAAATGGGTTTATAAAAGTAGATTTCACATGCCAGTTATAAATTATTTTTACCTCTTCTTTACATCAGTCTCCCAATGCACTTTTTTAAGGCAGCTTACAGTGAAGTAATTTGACATCTCACAAAAAATGATGACTCATAGATTAGAAGCTAACAAGAAACCAGAAGTTAAACAGGATCTTGATTGTGTTACCGAACTTCTCCACCCCTCTCCTGCATCATCTGTTAAGTGAGGATTATTATAACACAGATTTATGTGACACATTCCCCAACCTGTGCTATATCCCAGGCCACAAGCATTCTGGCTTTCTATAACATTTTATTATAACTATTGATTAGATGTCATTCTTAGAAAATACCTAGACAGTGTCCTCAAGAGCAGGTCATCTAAACCTCACAGTACATAGAGTATTCAGTATTGGTGATATAAGCTTATCAGTGACTTTGTAAAGAAAATCATATTTACCTCAGTTCTAAAGATTTGGATTCAGATACCCCAGCTAAGGTACTCATGAAACAAAGAACTCTTGCAAAAGAAATGTCCAAAAAATAGCATCAAAACAGCATGTATATGGTCAAAGGGGCTCATAATACAGGGTAAGACAGAGAATGCCGAACTGTTTAGTTTGGTAATTTAGGAACATAATTGTAAAAACATGAGATTTCCATTGTGTTATTATTATTTTTAAAGAATAAATTTATATTTATTTGTTCATATTTAGGTGTTCATTTGAAAAAGTAGAGTAAATTCTAATATCTTTTTGTTCAGAGTGCTTAAACCAATACTCTATCGAACTAGTCAGCATGATTTGTTTGATCTACATAGTATTGTATAGTGAATTTTAAAGCTGAGCAATATTATTCAATAATTAGAGTTCTGCTCTTTAAATATTTCACTTTTCATCATGCACCATCTCTAGCCTAGGCTTGCCTTGGACTTGCTATACAGCCAAGGATATCCTTGAGTACTGAGCATCTTGCCTCTAGCCCCAGAGTGCTGGCACTAAGGGGTAAGCCAACACATCCAGGGGTGTTGGAATTTGAGTCTAGGGCTCTGTGTGTTTAGTGAACACTCTAGCAACTGAACTACCACAGCTATAAACACCACATCTGCTTATTCTGACAGAGCTAATGTATGATCCCAGAGATAGCCTAGTCCTCATAGTGTTCATTGTCTTTAGGATTGTGAGTATGGAGATCTGTTGCTAGTTGTGTTGTATTCAAATTAAAGATAGTTGTGGACCTATAAAAATTATTTAACTTCATTATTTATGTCAAATGATCCAATGCTAGTAACTATTCTTATTCCTACCAAACATGTGATTGTATTTTGCATAGGCTTTTTTATTTCTGTGTTTGTCATTGTTGATTTGTTTTTACCTTATAAAGAATCTGAACTTATAAACAAATTAAGTAGCATTTTATTACACAAATAGAAAATATTTAGTAAATATATGTATATATATTTTATTTGTGGGTTTTGTTTTTGTGGGGTGTGTGTGTGTGTGTGTGTGTGTGTGTGTGCAGCTCGCCTATAGAGAACAGAGGGAGGTTGATGTCTATTATCTTCCTCAGTGTCTTTTCCATCTCACTTTTTCAGACAGGGTCCATCACTTCCTGTGGACCTCACTGATTGGCTTAGACTTACTAGCCAGCAAGCCCCAGTGGTCGTCCTCTCTATGTACCCTAGAACATCAGTACTTGCCATGAGTGTTAAGGATTGGAACTGCAGTGATCATACTTGTGCAGCAAGCATTTTACCAACTGACCAATCCCCACAGTGCTCAGAGAATGGTTTTTACATTCTCTTTCTGCTAAATATTATCATTGGCTTATTTTTGTATCTTTATAGCATAAATGTTCATGCCTGTTTAATAAATCCAAAATCATTTTAGCATATCACAAAATAGCAAGACCTGTGTGACATATTTTAACACGCTTATACTTAAAATAGCTGCTTTAGCTATTTCCTGCTTTTTGCTGCATGTCTGCATGTACAGGTAAACTTGGTGACATTTGAGAATCTCTGCGACATATTCCAGTGGTCAGTCTCCTTTCTCAGATTTTTCTCCCTAACATTCCACTTTCTTCTCAGAAGGAATCTCCAGTTTCCTGAGGAGTTTATTATTCATGCTTCATGAATACAATCCAGCACTGCAGATCTGAACTTGGGCTAGGCTGGTAAAGGATGGGAATGGGAACAGCGTGTTGTTCAGAACATTGGTTTTCTCCTCTGCACTCCCACTTGCAATCCTGTACTCGGCCACACTCACATCCTGAATGTCTCTGCTTCATTTGTTTATAAGACTATTATCTAAACTCTTCTTCATTCCATTTTCTGTATACCAACAGCTGTGACAAGGTTGAGTGCAGCACCTGGCACACAGTGGGTCTCCTGGGAATGCTGCTGGAATAAACAAGAAAATGCATCATAGCACCAATGTTAATGAAAATGACTGAATTTTGGAAAAGGCAGTATTTGGTCCAGCTGTTTGCATGTTTTATGTCTGCTGTCCACCAGGTGCGGTACTGGAACAATGGAGGAGAAGAAGAATCATCCAGCAAAATGAAAGTGGCAGGAAATCAGACATCAACTGTGCTCCAGGGCCTGAAGAGCAACCTAGCATATTACACAGCTGTCCGGGCTTACAACAGTGCAGGCGCTGGTCCCTTCAGCGCCACAGTTAATGCAACCACCAAGAAAACCCGTAAGTAGATTCTATTTTTCCACTTTCAGAATGTGTCAGTGATGGTCTCCTTTATCACCTGAATGGATAGCTTGTCATTAGCCCCACCTGAGGGATTAAACCTAGAAGCCTTCACATTCCTACTGGAACAATATTCTTCAATCTGTAAGCAGAGCCTCCCTTTTGTGCTTGTGGGTCTTAACTCTATCTAGTCTTCTTTTCAAATGTGGTAGGCTTCGTTGGGTCCACTATCATAGTCTTTAGCACTCTGAACCTTGTGCTAAGCATAAGTGACTGGAAGCTGATGCCAGTGCCTGGGAGCCTGCTTTCTAAGCCTTTCCTTCTCACAGTTTGTAAAAGATTCCAAAATGAATTAAGAGATTATAATAATCAGACAGTGAGGTGCACACTAAAAATTCTAACCAGCAATGCCAGTGTTGTCTTCCAAGCTGAGTCTGTGATACCTATGTATTCACAGCTTTGCTCAGGAGCTGTGATGATGTTATAATCGAATTAGTCATCAAGAGAGTCAGTTATTTGCATTGGTTACTTTCTCAAGCACATGCACACTCTAGTTTAAACCGTTCCTGTTATTGTCATAATGATCATAGTTAAAAGTGTCTGAGAAAATTCATGCACCAAAGGCTTGATGATCATCCCCTTCTGATTTCAATTCTAAAGGTGAGGAAAATGAGACATGAAGGGGTTAAGTTCCTTGAGCACACTGGTATTTTTGTTTGTTCATCATTTTTTCTTCATTTATTTTTGAAGTTTACTTCAGTAGATCTCTGTGTTTCACTCAATTTATATAGAAATGAGAAGATTTTTGTTCTTGGTTGGCACTTGGACCGTTGTGTTTGCAGATTACCATTTCCAAATTTATTTGAAAGCATACATTCATTGCCTAAACCAATAAGAATGCTGGTAATATACAGATGAATATTATAAGCAAGTCATATTATAATACTGGTAAATTTAAGTACACATGAAGTGTAATCTTACTACTTTAGATGTTAATTAACCACTGTCATTGGATGGAGGAAATTTGTATGTTTATATTTGCATTATTTATAAAAAGAAAAAGCATGGCTAGCAACTTATTAGCATAATGAACATTGCAGAGGAACAGTGTAGCAACAAAGCCATTTATTCCCTTCCATAGCATCCATTTGTAAGCAACCCACTAATATGAGGATTTAGCATTATCCTTGTCTAATTACTAGAGAAAGTGTGGCCCATCTCTTATGAATAACACATAGTTAGAATAAGAGTGTGCTATTTGAAAATACATAAACTGAATAATGATCTGTATTTATAACTTTTCAGTAAAGATAGTTGATTCTCTTAATAATAATTCAGCATTACTAAAGCTTAAGTATTCCTCATTATTTACATGTTCAAAGCCAGCATCAATCAGAAACACTGATTGCAAAAATATATTTAACCAACTTTAATTAAAAAATACATTTAAGCAAGCTCTAACTTAATAATCAATGTGATTGCTTAGTAGGAAAATGTTAAAAGACACTTTATGGTCTAGCAAGATTGCTCAGTTGATAAAGGTACTTGTCTCTGAACTCGAAGAGCTGAGTTTCGTGGAACTCACATGAGAACAGAAAAGAATGAACTCTCTCAAAACAAGTATCCTCTGACTTTCACAATGTGAAGGGCAGATTTGTATACAAATGCACATATGCTAAATAAATAACTGAAAAAATAACTATGATATCAAAGGTATCAGTCATGAACTTAGTTTATTAGGGAAACAACAGGAAAAGGGTAGCTATGAGTTAATAAGTATATCTTGATAATATACAGTGAATGAAATGAAGTCTTAAAAATTAAACCAAACTCCTTTATAACAGCATGGAAAAGCAAATGTATGCATAACAATGATGATAATTATGGTTTTAACAGCTAACAGTTAGTGAGCAATTTCTGCTCCTAGTTCATAATACTGTTCGTGTACTTAATTTTAATTCTCATGGCAACACTGACTTGGATGCTATTTATGTCTTCACTTTAGAACTGAAATGGCTGAGCCACAGGAATTTTAGATCTCTTCAAAAAGATGTCTGAGTAGATGAAGGGACAGTCATTCAGAGTCTGAAACATTGTCTCCTCCTCTCTTCCAAGCACATGTTTAGAATGTTCACATTCCTATCAAAGCCAGTGTATATTGAGATTTTGCTCTGTGTTTGGTGAGTGGGTAAGATGCCCAGAGGTAGTCAGGAATGCAGTGCTGATACAGCTGAAGTCAAATGGGAATTTCCCCAAGTGAATTAAATCTCTGTTTAAAATAGTGTTCTCCCAGTGCTGCAGTTCAGCTAGTCTGCACATTGTTCTATAAATGCTGCTAACAAATTTTCTAAATTTTATGGGAAATTTCATAAATTCTTCAGTCATCTTAAAATTGCATATGAAGAACATGCATCTTTTTTTTTAATTATGCTAGTGATTTTTAAAGCATATACCAAAATAGAATAAGATGGCATCTTTCACAGCTATTTCTGATGTTGTTACTGGCAGCTTTGAATAATCATCCTAGGCAATGATGAGGCTTAGCTTCAAATCCTATTTAAGAATTTTTGGCAAGGCTCACATGCTTATCATTTGAAGAAATCATCTGTGTGCTGCCACAGGTATAAAGAGCCGAGAAGCCATTTTTGATTCCTGGTGTGGTCTCTGTTTTCTCCTCCAGTTGATGAACTTAGAGTCAGTCCTATGTGCCTTATTCACCCAGACTACATGCCCAGTCCACTCACAGCACATGTCAGCCTCTCATTAAACGCTGACTGGATGACTGAGTGGATAAATGAAAGCTGTAGAAGCAGGCCAGCTTGAAGTACTGTTATTAATCAAATGGACTTCCTCTTGACTGCACATTGTGAATTCAAAATATAGGCTGCAGCCTTTCATGGTCTAGTTTAAAATTTGCAAGCTGCGTGTCCTTGTAATCATGGAATTCAGCATTCGAGAATTTCCACCAATGCAGACTGTAGGTGTTGTTCCTGATTGTAAAATAACAGAAGGATTCTCAAGCAAAGTACTGTAGGTTCCATTAAACACTTAATTTTTGGCATCTGAACACTTGTGCTTTCTAAAAAGCATCTTTAACTTAACAGTAATTAGCCTCTTCAGTAATTGAAGATGGGTTTCTGTCACTCAAAAGCCAAAGAGAAGTAACTCTTATGATCATCCATCTAATGAGACTAATGAGAAAAATTTGCAGATGGCCTGAAAATGATAGAAAGTGTTGATTTCTAAAGAGAAGCATATTGGCAGTCTCATGTCCGGAATTCTTAAGAAGGAATCTATAGAGCAAATACTCAGTGGCCTGTGTGATATACCTCCAATAGCAGTTCTGGTTGCTGTGTGGATGGATTCAGACCAGTAATGTCTTCAAAAGTCATCTAACAGGATCTCAGACTGAGTCTTTCTTAAGCTGAGTTCTCCATCCTGTCCTCCATCTTGACTCTTATCTGTTATAACTCCCCCATTTCAACAAACACAGTCTGATTATTTTATTCCTTAGGACCCAAATCTCCGGTATCCTTCACTCTTTTATAGAGTGTGTGCGTATGTGTGCGTGTGTGCGTGTGTGCATGTGTGCGTGCGTGCGTGCGTGCGTGCGTGCGTGCGTGCGTGCGTGCGTGCGTGCGTGCGTGCGTGCGTGCGTGCGTGCGTGCGTGCGTGCGTGCGTGCGTGCGTGCGTGCGTGCGTGCGTGCTTATGTGGGAGCATTGCCGGCAGGCCATAAGCCATGTTTGGAAGTCCAAAGAGAACTTAGTGAAGATACTTCTCTTCCACTTTTGCATTCTGGGGATTTTACTCAGGTTATCAGGTAAATATTTTACCCATTAGCCATGCCCCACCAGAAACTTATTGTAATTTTGACCCCTAGAATTGACTTGGAATTAATTGACTTCTGATTCTGAATCTGCCACTTCTGTGGGCTGGGGAATGACTTGATGGGGAAAGTATTCTGTTAGCAAGCATGAGTCCCTGAGTCCAAGGTTCTAGAACCCACAGAAACCCGGATGTGGTAACTCCAATACTCTACAACAAGTTATAAGACAAAGACTGGAATATCACCAGAATCTCTACACCTACCTTGCCTGGAAAATGCAGGATCAAACCAGGGACAATCTCAAACCATGTGGGAGGAGAGGCTCTACAGCAGGAGTTGTCTTCTAAACTCCATTGTGCATTGTCCCATGTGCATCTCAGCTCATCCACTCATACTCTTATTCTCTCTCTCTCTCTCTCTCTCTCTCTCTCTCTCTCTCTCT